AAAAAAAAAAAAAAAAAAAAAAAAAATTTTAGAAGCCTTCATCTTAGTCCTAATCTTAGTAGGTGGGAGAGGATGGCCCAACCCTAATGAGATAAAGGGAAATTGCAAAACGAGGATACCAATAATCCCAAGCCTCCCTTCACCCCTTAGGGAAGTATGTAAAACTAGCCATTGACACTTTAATCTTCAGATGCGCCTCCAGCCACAGTCCTGATGGATTCTCATCTTTTGCACTGACTGCCTACGATATTTCTACCGAATTTAGCTATCTACAACAATTCCCCCTCTGAAGAGGTATCCCTAACTGCGGTTAGGGGAGAAGGGGCGTAGTTTCCATCAGCCGCTTTGGTCTGAGGGGTTGGTGTAGGGGAAACCGCAGTTAACAATCTGCTTAACTCTGCTCACTTTCACTACAATACAGGCTAAAGGCAGGTACAGTACTTTATTCTACTTATTCTCTAGCACTTAAAATACTACCTGCTGGCACACAGTAGGAATTCAATAAATAATTTAAAAATAAATGATTATAAAATGCTACAGTTGGCTGTCCAATTTTTAAAAATAATTTTGGAGGGCTGAGGATATAGCCCAGCGGTAAAGCACTCAGAATGTGTGAGACCCTGGGCTCAACTCGCAGCATCTCCTCCCCTCAAATGTTAAGGTCTGACCTTCACGGTTCATACCTGTCCCATGCGTAAGTACTACAGCCCAGATCAACATGGAGACAACATTTGCAGTCCACATTTCTCCGCACCTCAAAACTACCCAGCGCTGCAAACAGTCCCTAGAGCAACTAAATGTACTTCTTTACTGGTGTGATGAGGGGGAGGGTAGCTGGCAGCGGCAAAGCTTTGCTGAAGGCTGGTGCCAGGCGGGCGCTGCAGACGGCTTTCCACGTGTTCTCTCATGTGACCCTGGCAATGACCTCATCCGGCCAGGGCACCACCCTCTCCATAGAGGGAGAAACAGCACGACGACATGGGCTAGCAAGTGCAGGAAAGTAACGGAGTGCTTCCTCCAACACTAATGTCACTTACCTTCATAAATCCACTTACCTAGCCATTCCTCCAACACAATTTATAAACTTATTTTAGAAATTTAAAAACTAAGGTAAACATAATCTAGTGATCACACAAATCCTCTACAGACAGGCCTCTGGATTAACGTCAATACATACTTACTGCTCGTGTAGAGGACTTTTGAGAGGGTCATTTCCAGGACTGCCCCACGGCTTCCTTCACCAATCATGTGCAACTTCGAGATTAAAACAAAACAGAAAAGTGTAGAGTGACTCTTCAGATACTGCCCACATAAACCATGAGCATATTTCTATGGGATGAGTACATAATCTTTGCTTTATAACTCTTCAACATTTTGGTTATAAAATCTGTAGCATCAAGACCTTATCTGCCTATTGGCATTTTAAGTTAATGAGTTCTGGAAGCAATAATTTGAAACAACTGAAATTCATAGTACTTATGAATATAAAAATGTCTAAATATGCACATATTCACATTTTAAGAAATACCTTACATAAAATCAAATTTCAGATTACCAAGCATGGAAAGTCTTTACGTGTTGTCTGCCCTGCCTTCTATCTAGATGCCCCCCAAAGCCTCATGTGCTCATATGTGGGGCTTTTGTAAGGTGACTGGATCATGGGTGTGTGATGCGGATTAGGCCACCAATGGGTTTATAGCTAGCGTAATGCTGGGAGGTGAAGCCTGGTGGGAAGAGGGTCACTGTGTGTGGCCTGGAATATATATCCCTCCTCACGCCTTGATTCTACATGCCTCCTGCCTGCCCTGCCATAGACTGTTTCTCCTCTGCAATGCTCCTCTGCCATGCCACCAGCCTTGGAGCCAGCTGACTATGAACTCTACAAACTGTGAACCAAAATAAAACTCTCCTTCTTTAACTTTGGGTGTCAGTATCTGACAGAAGAAGAACTGAAAGTTAAGAGGCTGTGACCATGACCCCAAAATTCATGCCTGAGTAGACTTAACTGACCTTGAGATAGATACAGATGCATATATAGATATATTTATCAGGAGGCAAATTGTGATTGACAAAGGTCTCACCTTAACTTGGTCTTGAACATTCAGCAACAAAAGGATATAACCAGAGATACTGAGTAATAACATACAGTATGAGTACACCAGGGGCTCCAGTCACACTGGCCCTGCTGACAGCTTCAAGGGCCAGCTGGTTACAGGGCCAGCGGTATGACATGGCTCCTTCCCCAGTCTGCCCTTCCATTCTATTGCTCATGGTTTGGCCATATATGCTTTAATCTCTTCTTGGCAAAGTCTGTTTATTCTCGCCTAGAGGCTGCCACACTCCAAGTAGTCATACAGAGAAACCCCTTATAAAGGTGCTGAGCCTCATCAGAGGAACCTTCCGGCTGAGGCTTCCATCAGCTACTTTCCATGCATGGCCCCATTCGGCTCAAAGAAGCCAGACTGGTCATCTCCACTACCCCAACAGCAGTGAGATGGTTGTCTCAGGAGGGGTTGGTGGCAGTAGAGGGAAAAGATAGGATGAAGGCTTGAGCTTCGTTAGAAGTTAATGGAGAGACTTACTAAGGTCAGTGGCCTCTGCAGGTTAGGCTCAAGCAATTAAAAAGACAAAGACAGCTAGCGGGCCAGGGATATAGCTCAGCGGCACAAACGCCTGCCGGGCAAGCTCAAGGTCCTGAGTTTGACTCCCGGTACCAAAAGTAAAACAACAAAGACAGATAGACTCCAGCAATCAGGGAAAAAAAAGGCAAAAAAACTAAACTCAGGAAGGTTCCAAGTAGAACATAAGCCCCTTTATTTCATACTTAAGCCTAAACTACTTGTCCCCAAACATGCACCCTCCACCATCCTAGCCTCCACCAAACAGGAAAGATCACGTGACTCGAAGAGATCCAAGGGAATGACGAAAGACAGCCAATGAGCCAATCAGATTCCAGGAGCCTACATGGACTAGGAACTCAATGAAAAGGAGCTGCCGACAAAAATCCACGAGTATTTCACTTTCGCATGCCCCCTACTCATCCAGAGCAGCTATCTGTCATCTCTCTCTTCCCCCTTTATCTCCACCTTCAAATACATCATCTTCTCTTAGCTAAAAACAGAAACAAAAACTGGGTGTTGGGTATTTTGTCCTAGCGATGACAAAGTAACTATGAGACACCTCACTGTCTGTGTACTAAAACAAACTGCTTATCGTTAGAGGCCAGACCCACATGGTGAGTTCCGCAAATACAGCACGTTAGGATAATAAAAGTATGGATAAGCTGCAAAAGTAGCAACCAACCTCGTCTACGACAACCAGACCCAGACTACTAATCCTTCCAGTTTCAATCAAGGAGTTCACCAGGCTATGTGCTTTCTCAATCGTGGCAATGTATAGTGATTTCTTCTCCCTTCTTTTAGTCGGGGGAAATCGTCCTTTGCTTCCCGCATACTCTTCAACAAAGAAACCGAGTTCTAGACCGAAACTTGACAAACCTGAAATCTAAACATTAGTTAAGATAAACAAAAACACAAATAAAAAAGAACTCTATTAATAGTCACAGGGACTTTTCTGAAAAGCTAAGCTAGGGCTTAATACCAATTGATGGGAACTGACCACACACTAGATATACATGTCTAAGAAACACCATAAAAATAAGGGGTTGGTCTTTCCAAACAAATGTAACTTTTAAAGTACATAATAAAGGTGAAAATAAATTTCAGTTATTTTCTTTGATGTCAAAAAGCAGAACTCATTTATATTTTTTTATTAACACTGCTTTTTTTTTCTTTTTGAGACAGGGTCTCGCTACGCAGTTCAGGCTGGCCTTGAGCTCACTTTGTAGCCCAGGCTGGCCTCGAGCTTGCAATGATCCTCTTGCCTCAGCCTCCCCAGCGCCGGGATTACAGGCGTGTGCCACCATGCCTGGCAAAACGCATTAATATTAATTAAAAAGTTGGTTAGTTTCTGCTTTTTTATCCCATATCCCATTTAAGATGTTGAGTCATCCACCAGTTTAGAAAAAATAAAACTTCCTAGATACATAACTAGTATATGAAGCAAACTCAAGTAGTATGCTGCTTTTGCATTTTGTAAATATTAATTCTCCATCATTAAGAGATACTTTATAGTCAACAGAAAGTTATTATTCACACTAACATTTAGCTTTTAATGTCATTACATTAGCCACATTTGTTTAAAAACATACCTTTTCTTGGACAAGTGCCACATAAGGAAGGATCATTAAAACATCTTTTCGGCGGCAAAGCAATTCCTGTAGCATCAGGATCTCAGCTACAAGGGTTTTCCCACCATTTGTTGGCAAGGAATAAATTAGATTTTTTCGTTCTTGCACACAACTCAGTGTTAAGCAGGTATGTTGCCATTCTGCGAAATTTAGGGGAGGAAAAAGGAACTCAGTGTGAAGTACTGCATGTTGTGGAATTTAAAGAAGAAAAGGCATTAGCTTCCTCTTCCATATTCTCAATCTCAAGAAAGTTTGCTATGAAGGAAAAATCGAACCCTTCCTTCTGTGGCAATCATCGCATAAGGGTAAATGCACTATAAAGTCAATATTAAATGTAACTATCCCAAATGCCCATGGCCGGAGTCTAGCTCAGGCCTGGCCAGTGGACAGGGAACAAGGAACAAGTCACCATCAGCTGCAGATTTAGGAGACTCTAGCAGGACAGGAAGAGCCCTGGGGCACAAAGGGCATCTCAGCACACCAGAGGAGCAAAAGACACCAAAGGACCTGTGTGAACAAGGCCTTCCTGCCTGGCGTGGTGGCGCATGCCTGTAATCCCAGCACTTGGGAGGCTGAGGCAGGAGGATTGTTGTGAGTTGGGGACCAGCCTGGGCTACAAAGTGAGCTCAAGGCCGGCCTGAACTGCATAGTGAGACCCTGTCTCAAAAAGACAAAAAAAATAAGGCCTTCTTATATTTTGCAAGATTGTTCAAGTTCACCTTCCTCATTAATCCAAATGCCATCTTAGAAATAGGAGAAATAAAAAGGGAGAAGGAAAGGTGCTGGCTTTGGTGGCATACACCTGTAATCCCAGCACCTGGGAGGCTGAGGCAGGAGGATCACAGTGAGTTCAACACAAGCCTGGGCTACATAGTGAGTTCAAGCCCATTTTGAATTACATAGTGAGATCCTGTCTCAAAAAAAAAGAAAAAAAAAGGAAAGAAAAGAAGAGAAATAGAGGGGGAAAACACCCATGAGGTTTTGCATACACCAATAAAAATTTCAACTCTCTTGGGGATCTGAACTTTGAATGGTTCTAATACATTTTAAACCGCTGAGATGGTTTAAACCATAAAACACTAGGATTACTGGATTTACCTGCACACCTTGGCTTCATTCAAACAATTTAGCAAGGTGAGATTCATAAAAACAGATCAGATCCAAGACATGGTGTAAACAATAGGATGGCTGTTTTGTAGAATAATATAACAATGTATAAAAGCATAAAAAAAATCTTCAAAATGTGTATTAGTATTTTATCTTTAGAAAAACAGACAAGCTGGGCACGGTGGCAAGTCCGTAATCCAGCACTTGGGAGCCTGAGGCACGAGGATCGCTGTGAGTTTGAGGCCAGCCTGGGCTACATAGTTCAAGGGCGGTCTAAACTACATAGCAAGACCTTGTTTGAAAAAACAAACAAACAAAAAATTAAATTATAAGAATTATTAGCTGGGTGTGGTGGCACACACCTGTAATCCCATCACTCAGAAGGCTGAGGCAGGAGGATCATCAGAAGTTTGAGGCCAGCCTGGGCTACACAATGAGTTCAAGGCCAGCCTGAAATTCTATCTCAAAATAACTCCCCCAAAAGAACAGAATAGGATGTATCTCAAAGGTATTAGTAATAGTTATGTCTGAATGAAAGTTTGGGGTGACTTTTTTCTAGTGAGTACCAGATATTTATGAAGGACTACTTTTTTTCTTTCTTTTGCATTGCTAAAGATTGAACCCAGGGCCCCACACACACTACCACAGGGAAGTGCTCTATTGCAGAGCCCTATCCTCAGCCCTATATTTTTTTTCTTTAGAGATATTTCAAAAATGCTTGAGTGGGGCTTGCTCAGCATGCACAAGGCTCTCAGTTAGATCCCTGGCACCAAATAAATTTAAAAAAAAAACTTAAATTTACTATGTAGTACTTAAATACTATTTGAGACTATCCTCTATCTGTACACAGTAAGTAACAAATGGTATCAGCTTCGCTCTCAACAGTCACATAAAACACACTAAGCACACAGTTCCATGGTAAAAAGGCAAAGCAGACGGTGTAGGGTGTATAATGTAGAGGTTCATGTCAGAATGCCAGGTAGGTGGGGGCAACACAGGCTGCTGAGTGCACCCAGGGGGTCTGAGCCAGTGGCGAGGCTGAGAACAGGCACTGTACAAGTCTCCAGGTGACACCCAAGCTGTGCGTTAGAATCTGCACTTTGAGAATCACTGCTTTAGTGTAGTAAAAATCAGCACATGCACCTATGCCTTAAACTTCCCATGTTATTAAACCATATTTACATGTAAAAAGAGCACTGAAGCAAGGTGTAGTGGTACACATCTGTAAACCCAGCACTCAGAGGCTGAGACAGGAGGACTGCAGCAAGTTCAAGGCCAGCTTGGGCTACATAGCGAGACCCCATCTCAAAAAAAAAAAGGGCTGGGGATATAGCTCAGTGTAGAGCTCTGGGTTCAATCTCCAGTCCCAGGAAGTTATTAAATTCTTAGCTAGAAGCTATCAGTGTAACCACTGACAGCCATTACAATATCTAATTTAGCACGTCTGTGACAAAGAATGCGACTTGCACAAGTATTATCCCATTTTACAGATGGGACGTGAAGTTTAACATTCATAAGATGACCAGCAACCTCCAGCAGCTGGGAGTCTATTAGAGCACACACAGTGCTAGCTACATACACAACAGGCAAATGCTGGAGGAGTCTCGGCTTCGGGGAATCCATTCCGGCAGGAGACACAGAGAGTACCGGGCTAAGAGAACAGCGGAGCGGAGAGCGCTAACAGCTGCTTCACAGCCAATGCAGCCCGTCAGCTCTCAAACCACGACCCTCACAATTTAGAGTACCTTAGATTCCGGGAGAGGCTGGGATTAGACTGCGTCCTGAGTCCTACTCCTTCCTGCTCGTGTTCCCCGAGATAAGAACCCACACTTTTATATGTGATTTATGTAAGGTCTTTCAGATTCCAACAGGTGTTCAGAAATAATTATGAAGGGACAGTTGATGGGCTCATCTCCCAGTATGGGGGCAACTGTTCCTTCGTTGTAAAAAAAAAATGGTACAAATGAAAATATATGAAAGGACCCAGGATTTAAAACAAAAAACATTACAAGACACAGTGTGGTTACTACTATGGTATTTCTTTGTAGTTAAATCTGAACTGGAGTTGTCTTTAAAGATGCTTATTTGCCAGGCATGGTGGCACACACCTATCATCCCAGCCTTGAGGAGGCTGAGGCAGGAGAACCGCTGTTAGTTTGAGGCCAGGCCAGTATGCGCTACATAGTGAGACCCTATCTCAAACCAAAAATGAATACATAAATAATAAATTAACAAATAAATAAAGATGCTTACTTTGGGGTAGAGGGTACCAGGAATCAAACTCAGGACCTCGAGCTTGCCAGGCAGGCACTGTGCTGCCGAGCTACCTCCCCAGCGCCATGATACTTACTTTTAACCAACAGTATTACTGACTTCATTCAAGACATCTGAATGTTCAGAGGAATTTTCAGCAAGTCAATTTTGGTCGATTAAACAGAACCAGCCAGTAACGGCTGAGGAATCTGTGAAGCAGCTAGAAAATCAGACCAAAAAAATTCAGGAGCAACATGTCAAGAAAGGAGAATATCGAGAAGGGTGTGGTCATAAGCAGGTAAGCTGCTGGGAAGTCAGACAGGGCAACAGGACAGGGGTCAGTGGGCGTGGGAGGGATGGGAGGGGGAGGAAGAACTACTGGGGGCAAGAAAGGCGACAATAAAACGACTGCTTTGAGAAGTGTGACTTTAGGGAAGAGGTTCCACAGTGGCAGCACAGGAAGGGAAGGTGGAGAGACAGCCGACATTTTTGTTTTTCAAGTTGAGACCATGGAAACATTTGTTGCTATTACTTGTGCTAATATTACGACAAGGATGGACAATTTTGATTTCACTCCAGCCCAAACCATTACCATATAAGTTTTCAATTCCTTTGAACTGAACATAAAGGTCTCTCACTTTGCTGGGTAATGAATAAAAAGGGCCAAGGTCATCAGACGATGACTCAATTGTCCTCTTAGCAACAGTAAGCTCTTCACAGAGGAGAGCCTCTTTGAGCTGTTTATTCCTAGAAAATACTGGTGTTTGGGCCTTGGCATTTCCAGTCATGGCACTTTTTAGATACTCTTTAATGCTTTTTCTCCTATTTGTGTCTGAACTAGTTTGGATTTTAGGAGACAATTCATCATTTCGCTTGTGTTGCAATTCTTCACTCCCAGTCTTGTGACAGGATGGGCCCTGGTCCCTTTCTTGAGCGGATTGGTGGTGCAAATCACATGAAGGGTTCTGCAGGTTTTCAAAGTATAAAACCTGGGAAGATGGCACGTCATACAAAGGGTCATCTCCAGGTTCAGCAGCGACACCTTCACACCCAGGCTGGTTCTCCGTCTGCTCATCAGTTTCACGGTCAGTCAAGTCACTTACATGAGTAACACTAAGCTTGTTTTTGATGCTCTCTTTGCAAAGATCTTCAGTGGCAAAGTCTGTAGCATGTTCTCCCCGTTCAGGAAGTTGCATGTATTTCTGTTCTAGGTCCTCAACTTGGGCTAAAATGGAATTTTCACTAAAGCTATCATAGTCTCCAAACATGTCCTCTTCACTGTCATAATGCTGAAAAGAAAACAAAAATATTTATGAGCAAGTCCAGTTTCATTAAGAATAAAAGCTGAAAGGGCTGGGAATATAGCTCAGTGGAACAGCACTTGCTTAGCATGCTTGAGGCCCCAGGTTAAAGCTCCAGTATGGATTGAGAAAAAAAATCAAAAATAAAAGCTTCAGTTTAGGGCTGTAAGATGCAAGCTAACCTATGAATAACATTATCAGCATTGTTTCACAGATTAAAAAAATGGAAGCCCAGACAAGTGAAGTAACTTGCCCAACACTTCTCTGGTAGTTTGATAGGGATTCTCTTCTCTCTCTTCTGCAGCTGGCACTGAACCCAGGGCCCAGCAGACTACCACTGTGCCACCCTCCAGCCCCCAGGACTCCCCTTGTTAAACCCATTACAAACAATAGATATCTATAGGGATGTCAGTGCTCTACCAGCTTTTGGTAACTGCAACATTCCCCTAGCAGGCTCTCAGGACAGTAGAAAGAGAAATTCCATTTGACCCAGCTATTCCCCTTCTAGGTCTCTTCTCAAAAGAGCTAAAGACATCGTTTCACAGGGTTACATGTACACCCATGTTTCTAGCAGCACCATTTATCATAGGTAAATTTTGGAAACAGGCTAAATGCCCATCAACAGATGAATAAATAAAGGAAATGTGGTGTTTATACACAACGGAGTACTACTCAGCCATAAAGATAAAGTTGAGGTATTCATAGGTAAATGGATGCACAAGAGACCATAATATTAAGTGAAATAAGTCAGATACACTAGTTGAAATATCTCATGATTTTTTATATGAAAAACTCGAAGGTGTGTATATATATATGTACATATATATATATAAACTCGGTGTGGTGGCGCACACCTGTAATCCATGCACTCGGGAGGCTGAGCAAGAGGACTGCTGCAAGTTTGATGTCAGCTTGGGCTACACAGTGAGCTCAAGGCCCGTCTGAATTACACAGCAAGACCCTGCCTAAAAACAAAGCATATATACAGTACCGAGAGAGCGAGAGCGCGAGAGGGCGAGAGGGCGAGAAGGCTCGTGAGCTCGCGAGGGCTCGCACGGAGGGGGCGGGGCAGGGAGAGAAGGAGAGCAAGAGAGCGAGCGGGAAAGGGCAAAAGATAAACAGGAAGTGGGGAGCTCTTTTTCAAATGGATGGGAGAACAAGAGCTGGGGGGAGGAGGGAAGAGAGAAGGGGATGGACAAAAAAAAGGAAAGGGGAAAAAATGATGAAAATACAGCTTTTGCAAATGGCAACAGGACCAAGAGTTTGAAGGCGCAGGAAAGAGGAAGAGTCAAACGTGTACTAATAAAAATAAGACTGGCCTGTAACGAAATCATGTTGCACCACCAAACACAAGGAAACTGTTGTGAACGTAGAACTGAGACAGCATGCACTCGGACTGGGGGTGGGCTACTACACTGCGGAGCGCTAAGCTTAGGGTAGCCGCACAGCGACGCGATTAACAACACAGCACTCCACGCACAGCGCCCGATTACTGCTGTGACCCCTAGACAGTAACGCTAGTTTCACACAGTGACCCGAGAGTGAATGTGTTTCAAAGCAGGAGGCGCAGCAGAGTCCGAGGCCCCGTTGGAGCCCGCGCTGCCCATCTGAGACGGGGCAGTGCCTCATCAGGGCCCACCCACAGCGGCCCGAGGGGGAGAGCACCAGGGGAAGCCGCCAGCCAACCGCTCGACTGCTGCCACCTGGAAGGAAGCGGCCCAGCCCAAAGCCCCGCGCCTGGTCTCCCGCCCGGGCCGGGTCGTCTTCCCCCCAGGTGAACGGGACGGCCCAGGGCTGCACCTCCGCCGGCTGCGCGGTCTTTCTCCGCCGGCCCCCGGCCCCCGCGTCCTCCTCTTCGGCCTCAGCGGGGGCTGTGCACGCGCTCGCCAAGCCTGGCCGGGTCCTCTTGCGGACACACACCCGCCGGCGGATGCGGGACGCGCCTTCCTCCATGGCGCGGCCCGCCCGACCGCGTTCCCGGAGATCCAGCCGCCAAACTCAAGGGCTGGGGAGCGTGACGGGCGGGGCAGCGGCAGCGAAGGGAAAAAACGGCGCCCGCATCTTCATCCGCCTCAAATTTATTCCCTGGGCTCCCTAACCGGAAGCTGGGGCGCTAGCGCAGGTGCACGCGTTTTTCGGTCCTACCTTGTCACGTGACACCCTGTACCGGGAGAGCGCTCCCCCCCCCCTCGCCCCCGCCCGGGTGCTGCGCATGCACATTGGAAACCCACTTACTCTGCGGCGCTCCCAAGCGTCCGCCTAGGAACCTTTGAATGGAGTACAAGGTCTCGCGGGGGAGTGTACCGGGAGGGACCCATCGGGAGGCTTTAGAGAAAGGAAAGGAAGAGGAGGGACGGGAAATCATGGCTGCTGTGGTCGTCGGCTGCAGCGGTCTAGGGAGGAAGAAGTTGACACCCTGGATAACGGCTGCTGTCTGCCTCACATATCCCGGAACTCAAACGGGTAAAGTGTCCATGGTGGCACTGCAGCGATTGCCTTGGCCATGTCACTTTTAGCAAAACTATGCCCGTTTCTAGGCAATTAAGTTTCTCCCAGAAGGGTGGGAATCTGTAATGACCGATGGCTGATGCAGGGGATGTGAAACGACCAGCTCTTGTTAAATTTTAAACACTGAAAGAAAGAGCGGATGGAATGGCTTTTTAAAAGACTCAAGGATTTCCTAAACCTGGCAAGAGAGGCACATTTCCAGAGTCACCCATCAGCAAATTACGTATTTCTAATCCCGGATCACAGCGAAATTGTAACGCAGACCCTCATCTCTGTAATTCCTGCAGTGCTATTTTCAATGTGCGTCTCCATCAGTAACTGCTCTCTAGAGAGAGTATGTTACTCATTTTCCCTTTGGTAAAACAATGACTATGGGTTGATTCTTCAGTGCCTGTTTGCATTAAAATCTGTCTTGATGGATATGGTGGCGCGTGCCTGTAATCCTAGAGTATTAGGGAGAAACGTGCGTTCAAAACCAGACTGGGCAGTTTAGCTAGATTATCTCAATGAAAAGGGTGGGGATGAAGCTTAGTGTGGCTTCTAGCCTATCTGAAGCGTTGTTTCAATCTCCCGCAAAACAAAACCAGACCACCTGTCTCTATGTAACGAAGGGAAAGTAAATGTCAGGAAGAGAGCAGGTGAGAAGTTTTACGAGAGGGAAAATATATGCCCTTGGGAATTAGCTAGTCTTACACTATCCCAAATCCTACTTACAGCTTGTTAATGAGTTATTGTGAGTGTAAATATAAAACATATTGTGTCTCTTGATTTGTCTTCATAAAAACAAAAATCTGTAGCTACTCAACTAACAAATAATTGGTTTATTGGTCTTTCTGTTTAATTGCAGTGCTATGGAGGAGAGGTTGTTCACAGTATAAACAGGTAACCAGCAATGAAAACATGGTAAGGATTATTTTTTTCTTTTAAGGCACTTGCGAATATGACCAAATTCTTGTATTTCAGCAACTTGGTCTTCAACTATAAGAATAAAATTAGCATTACTGAGTGTGGAAATGATCACTTACTGATTATAATAACTTAAATTTTGAAATAAGAAATTTCCTAGACTCCTAGAAAGAAGCATGACATCTGTAATCCCATATTTTTCTTCCTAGATATTTGTGATTTGGGAATTTCAAAGTGCGGTTTGAGTGCATAGAATAATTATAGATAAGTGAACAAAGACATTGTCCTACCTTTGTCTCAGTCATTACTATTGGTGGGCTGTCTTACTAAATAAGAGGTCAAAATTAGTTTTACATCAGGATATTTAATACTTTTTTCTTCTAACCTAGAGGTGCATTTGGATGGGTTTAAAGTACTGGCATGGACTTGGGCAGCACAGGTTTTCTTGTTACACACAAAATTAATTTGAGGGGCTGGGGATTTAGCTCAGCGGCACAGTGCCTGCCTGGCAAGCATGAGGTCGTGAGTTCGATTCCCAGTACCGGAAAAAAAACCAAAAAAGAAAAAAAAAACTAATTTGACACACATTGTACCATACAAAGTACTTAGCTTGGTGTTGAGTAGGAATACAGTCAGGGACTTGTCTCGTCCCTCTATGTTTTCATCTTGGTCATCTGATTCACACATCAGACTTTAGGGAGAATAAAGGAGGGTGTCTTAGTTATTTATCTTGTTGCTAGGACAAAATACCACACACGAGTTTAAGAGGGAAGGGTTATTTCAGCTTACAGTTTGTAGAGGTTGTAGTCCATAGATGACTGGCTCCAGGGAAGGACAGCATGGCAAAGGGGTGTCACAGAGGAGAAACAGTCCATGGCAGGACAAGCAGGAAGCAGTGTGCAGCAGCCACCTTCTTTCCCTTTTAGTCCATCTAGGTTGCAAGCTTTTTAGCTAGTGCCACCCATACCCAGGGTAAGCCTTCCTGTTAGCCATACTTAGAACTCTGGTAAACCAATTGGTGGACTAATCCCATTATCACACCCATCATCCAATATCATATGCCTATGATCCAGCCACACACAAAAGTACCACCTATGGAAACTTTGGGGGGACATCTAGATATAAGCCATAACTGTGTACTCTTTTTCAGGTCATAAATCCCCCTGAAACTCTGTTTTGTTTTGTTTTGGTTTTTATCTTTTTGAGGCAGGGTCTCACTATGCAAGTCACACTGGCCTTGAACTCACTTTGTAGCCCAGGCTGGCCTCAAACTCACAGTGATCCTCCTGCTTCAGCCTCCCGAGTGCTGGGATTTCAGGTGTATGCCACCAAACCCAGCAATCCCACTGAGACTCTTAGTGAAAGCTATGGATGCTTTCCACAGAAAAAGACAGAGACATAGTCATTGGAAATTTTGTGTACAGTTATGGAGAATAATGGGCTTTAAAACCATTTGTCATTTGGGAACTTCTAGTGCTGGGGGAGCATGGTGGAGGCCCTGGGTTCAATTCTCAGTACCACAAAAGAAACAAGAAACATCTCTTACTGGAGACACCCATTTTGACCCAAGTGGGGAGGCACTGTGATGGAAAAGCAGTATGGAAGCTGAAGCCAGAAAGGGTGATACCACCTTGTATACCAGCTGGGTGTGGTGACACCTATCTGTATTCCCAGCACTCTGGGAGGCTGAGGCAGGACGATCAAAAGTTTGAGTGCAGCCTGGGCAACTTAGTGAGATTGTCTCATAATAAAAATGTTTTTAAGAGGCTGGGGATATACATCAGTGTGAAGGCCCTGGGTTCAATCTCCAATACAACAAAAACAAAAATCCAAACTTAAGAGTAGTGAGGTAGGAGGATCGCTGGCAGTTCAAGGACAGCCTGAACTACACAGCGAGATCCTGTCTCAGAAAACCAAAGAATAAATTAATAAGAAAAACAGGGATGGATAAACTATAGTATTAAGTGATTATACTAACCTAGAAATGCCATATGTTGTTTAATACACCATAAGTTTTTCTTAATTTAAGATTAAATGAATTTTTTTTTTTTTTTTTTTTTTT